AAACTCGTACACAGCTGGATTCGAAGACTTTAATTTTCATGTAAGCCTTAGTTTTACAATAAATCTAGTATAGTGCTTATTTATTTCAAACTTGTAAGTTTTTAAAGATTAACAAATTCAACAATCGTATGAATGTTTGATTTGACAATAAATTTGAGACTCTTCATACATTGTTGGCAGAGCCATGTATAAAAATATAGTGTAACACTAGTAAAGGTAAGATAATGCAGTCAAACTTTGATGTTTCAATGTTCAAGGGACTACTTGATACTTCAAGACTTTGAATAATTCATGGTGGGTTTTATGGAACTTTTTTATGTTCATGGCTGTATAAAGTTGATGACACAATATTTCTACAAGAGCAAACACAACAAATACCAAAACACAAGTTTAAAGGAAAAGATGCATTTTTATCAGTCATGAAAATACAACTTTAAAAAGAAATCAATGAAAAATTGATTGTGCATGTGTAAGTTTGCATTTGTGTCGTCACGTCACATACATAGTATATGTATATTGCAGATCAATTTTAATTGAAACAATGCACAGTATTAAAGTGGTCTTCAGGTGTTACAGCAATTATTTCATGACTGGTACATAGACGTTATAGGCACTAATGAATTTAAAAGAAAGCAAATTAATAGCATATATTCTGTCGGAAATGACAGCACTAACATCACACATCTTCTATCATAGAAATTACAAGAGTGTTAGCTGATGTTCTGACTACAGCTAGTCTCAATCAATCTGAGAACATATGATTCAGATAAATCACTGTTTCTCATACTTTCATGCTTAAAGCTGAAAATTTTCGAAATTCCATAAATTAGACCTAACCAAATGCCATTTCCACAATGGCGATGGTGAACATCACACAATGTCCCATTATCTTTGATTAAATATCATGGCTTGTAAATAAGCAGTTAAATTTTGATCTGTGTTCAGTCATTAATTAACCTTGTAACACAGGGCTAATGATAAGTAGGTGGTCATAATCCATTTCTCAGGTAGCACACTTCATTAAAATGTGTGAATTTTTGCGGCAAGACGAAATTACCAGTACAGGTTTGATTCATAGAAGTTTGACTGTATAGCTACTTAACAATTGAAGGTGCCTGTAATTTCACAAACAGTAGTTTAATTTGGATCAGTTTTATGACACTTTGTCATTAAATTTCGTGCAGCAAAAATGCTTCCTTATCACTGGTTTTTACCTTTTGATCAGGAGCAATTTTTAAAATGCCACTACTTTCATGTGAACAAGGAAATGCGCAACTGATTTATGAGAGTTCAATACTTTTAACCTTCAGTGGCCTATAACCTTGCATTACACTGCAAAAGATGCAGATTTCAGTGTTACACTTGATTGGGCATGATCAGTCATTATGTCTACCTCTCCAATCACACTCTTGCCAAAATGATCATATAAAGATTTCATGTCTATATGACTATAACCTTCATATACACGTGAAACTCGTCTTGAAATTCAAGGGACCTTGGAAAATATTTCGACTTATCCAAATTTGTCTCAAACAGAGTTTATAAATAAGGTAGAGCGGTTGAACAAAGTAGTTTAATCTTTTCTTTTAATTTGGCACTCAATTAATAAATTTATTGTTTAATCTAAACAACAAAACATGTAATAACTCCAATCAAATACATTTGTACTCGTGATGTTCTGTCCTGCACATGTGTATAATACCCCAACTGACCAAGCACATATACATCATTTTTTTTACAGTGACAATAAAACAAAATTAATATTTGCTTTTGACAAAAATTGATTTCGAGACAATGAATGACGTTTCTCTTGCTTTACAATAAAAGGGTCACTTAAATAAGCAGTTATGTAGGTCATTTCTGTGGGATATTTCACTTCCACAAAACTGAACCCTGCCTAATTTGACCTAATAATCATGTCCCAGACATGGTTGGTTTGAAGAGGTTTCAATGGTTTCCTGAAATGAATTTTCTAAATCGGACAAATATTCTAATAGTAATTCTGCCATATTGAAATTCAAAGGAATTTGTCATGATCAGTGTCCTTACATTTTCTTTAGTTAAAGCAAAAACAGAATTCCTATTATGCATGATGAATATACCAGTTGTCGGTGATACTCATTCTTATATAAATTGTAGGACAGTAAGGTGTTTTAATTGCGCTCTGTGAATGGTCGCCATGCTATAGAGACAACCACAGAGACGAAGTTGTCCTTACCCGTCTAAGGATGGGCCATACATACCTTACGCATTCATTCATATATGTTGAAGGTGAAGAAAACCCTTGGTGCATAGGATATGATGAGCCATTCATTGTTAAACATTTTTGATTGGACTGCATTGACCGTCTGTCTTCTCGAGAAATTTTTTATCGTAACATTACAAGTCTTAAGACCCTTTTTGAAACTGTTGAGATTAATAAAATTCTAGGTTATCTGAAGGATGCTGGTCTGTATTATAGACTATAACTAGCATTTTTAATCTTTTGTGGTTATATAATCATTTAAAATTTTGAGTATTTGTCTTTTGCCTTTAGGTTGTTCGATGTTATTTCCTTTTTGGATCGCAGTGTGTTTTACCAGTTGATGGCCCTAATGACCTTTCTTATGCTGACGGGCTTTTAAGACTGTAATAATAATAATAACAGTTCATTAATAGTTCCAAAAATTTTTAATATTACTGAAACGGAGAATTCATACACTTTCTGAGATGATTGAACACACAGTAAGTCGATTATAGTTTTTAACTGATTTTTTCCCATCACTGATTACAAAATGTGAAAGTAAATATGGTTGGGCTTCATGATGAATTTTAGTACTGATACAATGTACATCACATAATAATCTGCTTTGAAATCGTATCCTTGCCACAAAAGATGATATGGATAAATAGGGACCTGCCCACAAGTCCTACATGCTTCATTTCTTTAATTGTCACAATACTTCATAGATGAGCTCACACGCATCACCTCATGTACAAGTTTGTGTTTCAACCTTCTGCAGTCAAAAACTAGGACACCATTTCTGAAATTAGAATTTGACAGAATTTTTTATGTCATTTACAGACTGTATTTCTTTTCATATTTGCATGATACTTCTCACATATGTACAAATGTCACCTTGCTGGAGAGTGCATTTCAACCCTCTGCAGTCAAAAGTCAGGTCATTGTTGCCATGAATAGAAGTTGACTTTATTTTTTATGTCAATGCTCTACAGCAAGCTACTTTTTTAAGATTATCACAATACTTAACATTCTTGTACAAGTTTGCCAACTACAGCTGAGCCATTTTCATTCAAATACTATAGCACTTTTGCCATTATACTTTAGAGAACTTTGAACCCTTGGACACTATCACAAATGCATATATTGTAATAACAGTCATTAAAACGCTCGTTTTATCTTATTCAGTTATCATTGTTGGAGGCACACAATTTGAAGGTTTTGGCTACAAAGTTGAAAAAAGGGAATGTGTCATGACCATTCAATATGTACATAGGTCTATTAAATGACTATCCATATGTACACTGCTTTAAGTGACTGAATGGTATAGGGATCATGATGAATCATTATGATTTGATACACGTATAGCTATGAATCTCTTCACCTCAAAAATTTTAGATCATTATAACATAGCCTTAATCAGTACATGTGGGTTATAATTTCTTTTCAAATCAAAACTTCAAACAATTAATGAATTTTAATATATACAGACTGCAGATAATAATCATATTGTCTTTAGGAAAATTGCTATTCTGATACTGAAATCTACAGTTATAGATATATTGTTGCTATTGTGGAAGTAATTGACTATTGAATGGTTAAAAATACAAAATATTTTCCAATGTGTGGCCATGACAACTACCTAAAAATAGAGTTTTATGTTAAAAAAATATACTAGTATAATCCATAAAATCAGTTGGTTGAGGGTTAAAAGGTGCAGGACTGATGCCTCTCCAATCTTAATATACTTTCAAATTTTTAAAGAATTTGATCTGCAGGTATTTTGCAGGGGAAGAAAAAACTTATCACTTAAAACAAATAGTTCATTCTGGCCAATATATGTTCACAAATCATAGTGACTCATTTGTTGTATATTGGGGAGAGGAATTCGGTCAATACAAAAATAAATATCAAGCATTATAAAAAGCACTATGGCCAAGATTTGGAGAATGCAAACCTAAAGATTAAAAGAAAAAGTATGAGGCTTATCTCTGAATTATTTTCCATGGGGACATAATTTTGGTTCAATATGTCTTTGCATTGCAGACATTATTTCACTTCATAATTAAGCCTCGTATATACACTTGTTTTCTTACTAAGATTGCTTAGATATGAATGTAAAATATAAAGTAGTTGCAATGTACTCAACTTTTCAAGGATTCATATCAAGTTCTGTGACGACTTTATATCTCATCATTTTATTGATATAAACTTTATTTTACAACAGTTGCAAAAATAAAAGCTTTAAGCCTATGTTAATCACTCTTGTTGGCCCTGATGGAAACATGCAAGAGGTTTTAGTGTGGGATTAAACTGGAGTAACTAGGGAAAACTTAAACTTAAAACACTAAAGTAGTGTGTTCCACTTGAATATAAAGGGACAGTATATGGTAGAGCTCTTTTTGGGGGCTTTGTTGGGGCGTATACAGGCTGCATTCCGAAGTGTATTGATTTCTTAATCTGACTGAATTCCCAAAACATACTTCACTCCATAAAATTTCCTTTATAATTTATCAATTATCTTTCCAAAAAGGTCCTTTTCCCAAATGAATAGGGTAAAAAGCACTAGATACCTCAGAATAGATTCATTTAAAGCTAGAGTTCAGGGATTAGGGGTATATATATCTGTTCATTTTGTTTTTATTTTATGAGTTAGCTAACTTTTCTGTAATATTCAATTGCATTCAACCATATTTCTGCTTTAACTGTTAATTATATCTATGTTTATATTGATTACAGGCAGCAGCTTTAAGTAACCTCCCTCTCATGACCTTTGATAATGTCTGCAAGCCCAATGGATAGCATCGTAGTAAATGGAAACATTGAGGAGGGACCTGCCCATGTCGGTGGTAAAGTTGAAGATCAAGAAGATCTGATCACTTCTATCAAGAAATTGAAAGAAATTTCATCACAGAATGGCACAGATGAGAATGCTGCTGTACCTGAATCTGACGATGGAAAAGCTCCTAGTTCCAAAGAGAATGCTGTCAAAGAAAATGGAATTAACACCAGCATAGTTTCCAGCGATGAGGAAAATAGCAAACACACAGAAATCACTGAATGTGGAAAGAAGGAGGGTACACCAGCAGAAGATAATTGTGTCAAGGAGCATGCAGTGGAAGTTAATGATGGGAAATCAGACAGTATCACAAATGATGCTGAATCTCCAATGGAAACCGATACCACTACAAAAAATACACAAGACGATGCCACTACAAAAGACACACAAGACGATGCCACTACAAAAGACACACAAGACGATGCCACTACAAAAGATAAACAGGACAGTAATATTCAGAGTTCCATGGATGGAATGAAACCTGGAAGTGGAGAAAATGAAGAAAAACATAAGTTAAACAATGAAGCGGAGGAAAAATTAAATGAAGGAGATGCCAAGAATAACACAGCCCAAGAGACAGATAAACCAGGTGTGGAAAGGCTAAGTTCAGAAGAAAATAGGAGTGTCTGTGATGAGGGACAGAGCTCCTTAAAAGATGAAATAGCCACGCCTAATCCTGAATCTTCAACCAATAATAATGCTACATCTGGAAAAAGTGACAAACAAATAATCAGTGATTCAGAAAAGAAAGTTTTGAAAGTCTCTGAAGGTGATCAACATCAGAATAGTTCTAAAGTGGAGGAGTCAAGTGAAGAAAATGATTCAAAGCAGGGGAATTTCAAAATAAAAGACGCTCCTGCAGAGGAAAAGTCTAAAGTGAATGATAGTTCAAAAGAAGGAGAGCAAAAGGTAAACAAGGATTCAAAGTCAGTTGATACTCTGACTGATGAAGATGGTTCTGAATTTATCATAACTATAAATGAGGATGACAGTGGAAGTGAGAAGGAGGAGGAAGTTGTTACAGATAAAACAATCATTCAGCCAGTACCTACAAATACACAAAATATACCACAGAAATCTGATGCTAAAGTCACCTCTTTAAAAAGTAATATCCAGAACTCCAAGCCTGCCAAGCAGCAGCAACAACCTAAAACACAAATTGTATCGGCAACTCAAGTGGTCAGTCAGACTACATCTGCTCAGGGTGGACCACTACAATACTACCCCATACATCAAATTCAAACCTCAACAGGAACATCACAGTATATGCAGTCTGTAATGGTTGGAGGAAAGTCCGTCCTTGTTCCAGTTTCATCCTCGGCCATTGCTGGAAATTCTACACAATATTTGATTGACCCAAAGAATTCTGTCATGTCTAAAAAGCCGTCTATGGCAGCTGGTATGAACTTAAAGTCTAAAACATTTACACCTCCACAACCTGTAAAGCAACTGTCTGGTCAAAAACAAGAGACCTACAGTGTTCAGAGGGGCATTGAAACAATTGAAAGAGATGCAGATCTACCTTTGTCCAGCTGGGAAATGATTGATCTAGTCAAATGGGAAATTGCAAGTCACAAACCTGACAATACTTTTTGGATGGGATTATGTAATGTCAACAAAAAAGCAGAGTTGAGTGCTCCTTCCAAGTTTTTGTTTGATCTAGGAAGTGATATTGTAAAGGAATCTGCTTACAAGCAAATTACTCAGGTACAAACAAAGAAAAAAGAAGCAGGAAAGTTGAATGATGTAGAAAAAGAGAATCTTGAGAAAATGAAAAAAGTTGTGAAGGAATTAGAAGACAAACTCTCTCACATGGCAATGAAACAACAAAAATGTAGCTGTGGTTTTCAAACAGAATCGGAAAATGTTATGATGTTCCACAAGGAACATCCTCACATGCGACCCCCCTTGAACCCTCATGGTTTAATGAGCTGTGCTCACTGTAACTTTGAAACAAATGATGGGACAAAGTATTCGTTTCACATGGAATCTGAACACAACATGGTTGGTCGAGTATATAGTAAACCAGCATTCTGGCAATGTGGCCTATGTTACTATGAACACAATAGTAAAAACAAGTTAACAAATCATAAATGGAAATGTATGAAACATTTTAAAGCCAATCAGAATCAGGCGCCGCATCACACAGATATAAACTACTGTTTGAAGAACATTTATTACAAGTACCAAATTAAGAAGCCCCCACCTCCTAAACCAGCCCCTAAACCAGCCCCTAAAACTGCTCCACAACATAATCATAATACAAGGAATATTACTAGGCCACCTGCAGTCATACAACCCCGCCAGGCACAGGGACCTCTGCTAGCTAATCAATTACAGCAGAAGAATTTGCCGCGGCCAGCAATACGTGCTGCAACACAGATTCCAGGAGTGGTATACAGCAATCAGGCTACAGCACTAGCAAACCAACAAAATAGAAATCCTCCTCGACTACCTGTCAACAACCGAAATGTGAGGAACCCTATGCAAGTTGTTGTACGGCCACCTGTCACTTACAAAGGAAATACAACAGTTAATCAACTGCTGATGCAGGCCAAAGGTTCAAATCAAGTGCAACGGCCTCAGCAACCCATTACCAAAAAACCTCCTCCCCCCAAACCAGCAGGAGGGCCAACATTTGAAGTATGCGAGATATGTGGAGGTTATGTGAAGGACAGAATGTCATTGAGAATTCATTTTTTCTACGCACACAAAATTGATATACCCCAGCATGTTTTCAATCGCGATATGGCTCCCTTGCTTTGTGAAGTGTGTAAAGCTAGGTTTTGGACAACACAGGGATTGTCCAAACACAGATTAGCTACTCAACATAATGCTGGCACACCTAAACAATCATCAGCAACAGTCACAGGAGACAATACATGCTGGATCTGCCACCAACGCCAGGCAAACCTGTACACTCATCTCCTTCAATTTCATCGACTTAGCACTGGAGAGTGCATGCTGCTGAAACGATGCATGTTCTGTGGAAGTCTGTCCAATAACAGAAAAGACCTGGAAATTCACATGGCGGCTGCCCATGGAGTACTCATCAAAGGAGCCAACAACCCATCCAGCACAGCAGCGGCGAAACCACCACCCAAACAACCAGCTCCCAAGACTGTTGTTGTAGGACCGAAAACCAGTGTTACTACTACAGGGGGTAAAGGATCTGGACTTGTGAGGAATAATTTTTGTGTTTTCTGCTGTAAACAGTTCCCAGACAACACACAACTTACATTACACTGTCTGAGCACGCATGCTACTTGCAGCAGTTGTGGCATGGTTGTAGCTCAGAACAGTGATCTGAAGACCCATGTGTGTCGTTCTGGATCAGTCAGGAATTGCCCAATGTGTGGAGTTAAAAACCTAAAGCCAAATGCTTACACACGGCATATTTCAACATTTCACTTAAAGAAATGTTTTGTTCGTCTGAAAAGGATGTCTCCAAGACAGATAAAGGAAGCCACTCGCAGAAGGGCGCCAGTGCTACCTGTGGCTGGTACAGTGGTTATAGATTTACGTCCTCCTGAAGATAGAAAGCGATCAGCATCTGAAGAGGCCAATGAAAACATTTATGTGCCAGATATTAAACGAATGAAACAATCTGAGGTTATTCCGGAAGGTCAGAAGGAAACCAAAGAACATCATGAGGAAATGATGGATGAATCTAGCCAACAGCTTCATAAAAAAACTTCTGATGAGCCAATGGAGGCATCAAACGAGAAGCCAAAGCAAGAATCTAACGAACAAACAGAGAAAAATTGTGCTGCCAATAAAGACACTAATGACAAATCTGAGGATGACAGTCCAACCAAAGATGATAACAATAGTGAGAAAGTGATTCCTGAATAACCCTTCATGGCATTATAGCAATCCAATACTAGACTTTTATTTAATGATGGTTCACTACAAATATGTATCACACAAAGTTTTCAAGATTAGAAACTGTTGGTGATTTAAAGAAAGCATGGTATCCTGAACAACAGTTTCCATGTTTTTCTATAAAAACTTTTGGCTTAAGACAAAGAAACATGTTTTATTTTTGAAAAAATTTTCCCCATCTGGTAATAAATATCGGCACACTTGATTAGCTTACTGAAATTCATTTTTTAAAGTTCACATCTAATTACTGCTTACATCTTAATTTCAAGAAATAAAGATTTGTGGAGGAGGGGGAGGGATTTAGGGAATGTACAGAATGTCAAATTGTGTTAATCTGGCTTGGATCAAAGTATGACTATGAATCATGGAAGCTACCTTATTCTTTATCATAGACACCTTAGTATTATGTGGTATTTGATTCTCATAACAAGAAAGTCTCAGATTATTTTTCCTTTTGTTAAATCCATCTTGCTTATTGGATTCCACATTGAATGTATTGCCTTCAGTTGTAGCAAAAAAAATCTATAGTAAATGTCCAGGTTGTGAAATTATTTTCTGTTTCAATTGTGTAAAGTTAAGATTAATTCTTTGGTTGGTGATAATACATCTGAGTAAAGGGCTTCTATTTCTATATCTTTATGTCATTTTAATTCATTTTGAATTTGCAAGATTCTATTTTACAATGTGGATTAATCCTGGGAAATAGTTCTTAGCAGAGTCTTGTCTCTTCTGCTGTTTGCTGGCACATGTTCATTGACATTTTGTTGGTTTGCATGATTGCATATATTTAAGTTGTACAGTTGAGTTTAAGAGTTTATTTAGTTAGAAAAAATCAAAGTAATATCCAATTTCTTTCATTTGGTTTGAACAATTTCAAATTGTTAAATCAATGTTGGTCCGTGTTTCTTGGTCGACTGGTTATGAAGAGTAAATATTAGTACTTTAAAGTGTTATCTTTCATTATAATACTAGAATGGCTGCTCATCTGAAGTGTCCATCTTCTGTTGTACCTCTATATACACAGTGTGTTGGCTGTTTATCAGTACCATGATGTACGACATCAGCTGTATGTTTTCTGTAGATAGTTGTACTTTGTTGTTTTGAAAATAAAGAAGAAAATTCAATGTAGTAATTTTTAGCCTTCAACTCAACTGATACTTCAAATACCTAGTTCACAAATTTTATAACCCCAGTTATTTTGAAATAACACGGTCAACTGGAAATGTGCATGCTTGTTATGTACGTTTATTGTAGTATTTTTTATGACCTCATTACAGATGTATGTGTGTGAGTGAACATTGCTACAAATTGTCATATATACGGTATATAGATATATATATATGAAGAGTATCATGATTATAAAAAATTTTTTTACTTCGTAATGTTTGAAAAACAAATCTATTTAGAGATATATCTTCATTGCCTTATTCTTGTCTCCTCTGGGACAAACCATTATTTATAAATGTGTTGTTTCTGATACAGTTATATTGTCATGTACTAAACTTGGTCATTTTGTAAACTGTTGATTTTGTTGTGAGTTCCTTTCATGAAGTCCTATTTGGTATTTTCACTATGACAATACCTGCTCTGTATCTATTTTGCTGTCGGCTTTAATCCAAGCAAATATTAGCCTGGTGTTAAATGATATCTTAAATTTTTCCTACCATCAGCATGTGTATAGAAACTTGTCAAATTACACCACAGTTGAAACAATAGTCTGCAACATTTTATGATCAAATGTTTGTTTTTGTTTGCACTTTCAGAAAAAGTTTTGAATCAGTAGTTTCAATATCATTCCGTACATGTACATGTCATTCAAATTTAATATTTTGCTTCCTTGAATCAAGAAAGATGATGATAGGGTATAAAGCAAAATACAAAGTGTTAGCTAAACTTATGCATCCTTTAATAAAACATTCTCTGAAATATTATGGAGTCATGGAATTGAATCCTGTTATGTGGTCCAACTTATTAAAATAATATCAAGTAGATTTAATCTTTAATCGTAAGAGGACTTAACTCTTGGCTACATTCATACAAAATTTCACTTTTTTTGGGAATGTGTAAATGCAAAACTAGTTTTATTGTAAATAAACTGTATGCAGATTTGTTTCATTTTGAAAGTTCATTTTCTTGTTTGAATCCTATCATTCAGCTGCATTCTCATTTTCTGTCCAAATCAACTTTGATGTGGTCAGAAAAGGTACATGTACACTACATTATGACAAAGTAATGAGAGGATAGCTTTGATAATGAGTAAGGGCTATATGTTACAGAAATGGATATTTTAGGTCTTGTTTGCTGCTGGTTCTGGTTATCAGATGCCTATTAAAACTACCAAAATGACTGAAATACTTCACTTGTGGAGTAGCTTACAATATGTTACCTAAAAGGTGTGTAATTCATTGTAGCTTTTTGTTTGTATCTGTATGATATATGTTGTAACTTTCTACCTTGCACGTACACATATATGACCGTGGATCGGTTACCTAGTGCGTGATAGGTAGAATTGGTTATGAAAATCTGTAGTGCTCATTTCTGTGGAATCAATGTTAAATATTGTTTCAGTTTCAAGAGGAATTTCTCCGGAAATTGTAGAACATGTTTACTGTTTATTTGATGGTAATAAAAAGGCAGATGCATAAATATATGTCAAATCACGAACAACTTTGATGTTATTATTATATCTTTTCTCATCAGTTAGGAATTTAGCTCTGCTGGTCCAAATGGCATTTTGTATAAATGGCAGGTCTAAGCTCCTAGGGGCTGGAGGGATAGGGCAAAATACAAGAAATATGGAAATTCTACATGTACTCTTGTAGGATTGATGTGATGTTGCCTTAATTTCATCTGAGGCATCCTTTGGTGAAAGGAATAAATTTTGTTTAAGTGATGGGTCTTAGCTCCCTCGGATAGGGATTTTGGGCTTAAGCATTGTTCTAAGCAAAATCATTTTTTGATATAAACTTGGGGCAGGGTCTAGTAGAGGGGAAAGGGCAATTCTTAAAAATCCTTCTGAAGGAATGCCAGGATTCTCTCTGAATTTGGTCTTAAGTACCCTTGGTTGACTAGAATTAATTGTTGGTCTCTACCCTGTGGGGTGCGTTGGGCAGGGCCAATAGGGGAAATCCCATCTGTTGTGGGAACTGAAATGCTATGATTCTATTCAATTTTGTCTGAAAGCAACCCAATTTTGTATAAACCAGGAGTCTTAAGACCAAGGTGGTGAGGCCAGAGATGTGGAGACAAATTGGCCAGATATCTGTTCCTAAAATTTCTTTCGAACAGGGATTTTTGTCAAAGTTTGGCCTGAAGCATTCCTTGGCAAATGGAATTCAATTTTTCATAAACAAGAGACATGACTTCCATTTTAGCACATGTCCGAGGCTAAATATGGAAATTATTTCTGAAATTATTCTTTCTTTTGGAAATTATTGACAACTGAATTAGCCAGGTGAACAATGCAGGCCCCATGGACCTCTTGATTTAGTCCTCATTTATCAATGGTCCATCAGTAAAAAGTTCTTATAAACAGTATTTCTTGAGAATTGTGTTATCTTTCTCATATTTTGTGTGTAGCATTTGCTCTATCCCTAGTTGCAACTGGTCAATTTTTAATATGTTCACAAAAACAAAATGGCCACCAATTTTTCTGGAAAAGTGCCTATAGATGGATCTTTCTCAGATTTCATATATAGGTATGGCACTGCCCTCATCTTTTCCTACTCACTTTTGGAACTGATCAATGCTGAAACATTTTTTACTTCAGTGTTTATTGCTATTTTCCAGAGGGGTGCAGAATTTATCTCTTCCAAATTGTATATGAAGGATTGTGGTGGTCTGATGTGTCTAGAAAATTTTAGATTGGAAAAATATACCTTGGTAATGGGTTACATGTAACCATCTGGGATTCAGACATCTAAAGATTATTGTTACCAGAAAACTTTAGAGAGAATATTCTAAACTCCCAGTTAACAGACAGTCATGTTAGATTTTGATTATGAAGATTTGTCATTGCTATTTATTGAAAAGTACTAGATAGATGTGACACAAATTTCACAAGCAAGTTTCTCTTGGTCCCTAAGTGTGCCCTTTTGATTTTTGAAATGATCAGAAAAACGAGGCCAAAGGGACCTGCATTCCTCACCTGGCTAATTAAGCTATTCATTCATTTAACAAAGAATTTCAAATATAACAATTTCTGAAAATAATTTCCCTGTTTGGATCCTGTTCTTGTGGGACAGTGGGACCTTTTCCTGGAAGTGATAATGATGTGAAGATTGCAAAAGCCATCATGGATGGTCTGGAAAAAGATGACATCATGGATTGAAGGTTTATGGATGTTATGCTAGATATAGAATCACGTAATTTGACAACAAATATGCAGACTCAACATGTTGACCTAAAAGCTAACCTTGATAAATCCTAAACTAAATCCAGATGGATGGACTCACATCATGGCAGATTCAAACAATGGCTGTTTTTCAAAACACAACTGGCTTCCAACCATTTCATTGATGTCATCAAGGCAGTCGCTAGAATAGTAACTACCTGTCTCAGTGTTATCCATAGACCTAGGACCCATATATGTTAGAACACAAGAGCCAGATGTGAAGGATAGGGCGCTGGCTGGTTCAAAATAACTTGAAAAATGAGCCATATCTTACCAGAACTTGAAAAATGAGCCATATCTTACCAGAAGGGCCAATTCACTATTCATCAAACTAGATGCTACTGCAGCTGGCTACAAAAGTGAGATCCACTTGAGGTACAAGAGTAGTGTAAAGTTCAATGTTTGGATCCAGCTTGACAGCTCTGATGCCATTAATCCACAAAAAGGATTAATATTGCTGGTGTCCTAGTGGACAGAGAAGCTTGGGGTTATGTGCCAAGGTAGCCAGTCTCCTGAACTATTTAGGATACTACATGCATTAGGAAACCAGTACACCTTTGCATCTAAAAGTTGAAAGGATTAAGACAAATCTCAATTAATATAGATTTTTCTACCAACTGTCATCTTCAAAGCATCAGGTAAAGTCAATTTGGACAATTAGAACTACCATCCTGTATGATGTAGACGAACACTGACATAGCCAATCAGATTCTAGGACGAAGAAGCCTTATTGGATTCCAAATAAGGTGGTTTAATATGTAAACCAACTTCAATCTATCATTCTTAATAGAATATTGATTCAACAGTTATAAGAACATTTAGTTTTTGTGGATATCAGGGAACATGACGGCCATTCTGAAAGTTGATATTTCACTTTAGTGGGTTATTAGTGTAGGTGACAGTCCCTTTGTACTAATAAAACCAAGTGTAAACATTTTATTTCAGTTTCCATTACAATACTTCAATCTAAAACAGGTTTTCCCCTTTACATGGCAATACTGTCAATCAATTTTAATCACTTTGCACAATTACTATTTTTGGGCAATTTATTATGTACTGTTTGAAGAGGTTTTTTAGCACATAATTACTAATGGACTCCAATAGAAAATTGTAATTTTGACCTTCAGAAAATTTGCTTAATGTTAAAAGAACATTTCTCGGTGTCCATCACATTTTTATTATGTCAAAGGGTCAAGATGAATATTGCTATCGTGCATCACCCAGCGTTGTGGGTCATTCACCGTCTGCTGTTCGCCGTCCGTAAATTTTTCCTTTAAAACACTACTTACACCAAATATGGCCTGAAATTTCTGTAGAGGTTGGCAAATAATTCTTAGATTCAGAAAGTTGATTCTACACAGAGGGATTTAGGAACAGGGCTCCGAAAATAGAAATTAGTCAATATTTTGCTTCAAAACACTACTCCTTCTTAATGCCTAGGTAGATTTCAACCAAATTTGATCTGAAACATTGTTGCAGATGGGTTATTATTTCTTAAATGCAGAAAGTTGATTGACCCCTAGGGACATGGGGACAGGGCCTCAAATGGTAAAGTTAGTTAATGTTGTTTAAAAAAAAATGAAGAGAGGATTTTTCACAAAAACTATGTTTTTCTTTAAAATGCTATTTTTCCTTAATGCTTGAATGGATTTAAACCAAATGTGGTCTGAAATATAATCATGGCAATTCATCAGATTTGTCAGACCACCATCTGCAAATACTGTGGTTTGTCCTTTCATTCATAGATTGTCAGATAACCATTAAGGGTCATGACTCTCTTGTCTTTTCTTTGCAATGTATTTGCGATGATGTTATTTTCAGCATGTTCATATCTGGTTTCCTTAAAAAAAGAAGAAATGATTTTTCACAAAACTATACATTTTTTAAAATTTTTTTGCACAAAAAGTGCTATATTCTTGTGTATGTACATGTTTGAACTTAAATGCCTATTTGTAAATGTACGACAACAGAGGCTACCAATAGCACATACAAGCTGTTGTATTTGCTTCTTTGACCATTTTGAACCCCCACTTTTGGCAAGATCCCCTATTGGGCCCCGCTCCTTCAACCTCAGGGTGGCTGAGACCTAACCTCTATACAAAATAATTTCACCTTCACCAAGCTATTCATTCCGACAAGAATATAGTAGGATTTTGAGACAGATCAGAATAATAAAATGGCAGACAAATGGCCATCTTGAATTTTGACTTTGAATGTTTGTTATCACCATTTCTTGAGAACTGCTGCATAGATCTTTCTCCAATTTCACATGTAGGTTCACCTTGGTCCCTAGTTTTGCCTGTTTGATTTTGGGACTGGTCAGAAAACCAAGATTGCCAACATGTGGCAATCCTGAATTTTGACTTTGAAAGTTTATTATCGCTTTTTCTTGAGAACTAATGCTTAGATGTGTCTCAAATTTTGTGTGTAAGTTTCCTTTGGTCCCTAGTTGTGTCGATTTGGTTGGTTTCATGACTGATAAGAAAAAAGGGGCTTCCAGATGGGCATCATGGATGTGGATGTTAAAGATTAGTTATCACCATGAGCAAAAACAGAGAAGAGAACAGAAGGAAAAGATCCAACAAGTGAATAAAGATCAAACAATGGTGGGTGCCTAGATCCCTTTGGGATGTCTTGTTACATGTTAAACTTCTTCTCAAGTTCCAGCAGTGGAATTGATCGGAAATTTGTATGAAATGTTCCCTAGACAGTCCTGACCAGGTGTTGTTATTCAGTCGCATGGTCACTATCTTGAATATTACATCTTAAAATCGGAAAATTTGTAGATGCATTAAGGAAGGCAAGTCCACAAAGTGTTATTTTCTGTCCTTGTTCAAAGTTCAATATGGCAGCCATTTTGGAATATGATTGTACAATTATAGTTTCTCTGAACAACACCTATTTTAAACTTCTCAAGTCCTGACCAAGACTTTTATTTCCATGACAGTCTGATATCCAATAAGGCTGTCATCTTGAAAAACATATTTACAACTTTTCTTAATGGTGCCATTGAGTTGAAAATTGGTAGGGATGTGGGAAAGGAAGTCAACAAAGTGTTGTTGTTTTTGAGCCTCCATTGTTCAATATGGCAGCCATACTTTTGTTGATTATTGATGGCACCAATCAGAAAACGATTGTTGACATAATTTAGACAATCATTTTTAAGTCATGGATTGAAATTTGCACAAAAAAGGCTACCTCCATTTGATTTTGTCTTCAATCTCTTTACTTTGAAACCTAACAAAATGTAACTTTCCTGAGCGATGTGATAAAAAGTTGCTTGACTTTGTTCATGTCATACAAAATTTATGAAATTTGTCTTGAAAATTAAATTTTTGCTTGCAAAGGTTCCCAAAAATATATACTTCTAAGACTCGTTTCATAAAATCTCATATTTATGTACATGTGTTTATATGTAAAACTGAATCATAATGGAAAATAAAGTAAAACCAACGATGTTACAGATAAATATGTTTTTAATTATCACAGTGATTGGCTTGTTACCAAACATCAATCATTTATTCCTTAAATACTGCATGCTTGTTTCAGAATGAAAAAATATTGGCTTATGGAAAAGTCCTAAATATATCATTGTTCCATTTTCAGCTGCCTTCTAAAAACTTTCAACGAATATGGACAATTTTCACACTAGCTTTCTTAAATAATTTGATTTCAACTTCTACATGGTATATATATCAAGTGAAAAAAGGTTCTGAATAACTTTCATTTAGTTTAGCTTTTTCTGCAAATGGAAACGAACATCAGGCATTCATATTATAAACACATAAATGGTATCAAAAGCCAGTGGAAACAAAACACTTCAATGGTTGTGTCCAGTGATGATGAATTTGTAATTAAGTGTGGCCCCTGTATGTTGAATTTAATTTGATTATCTTTTGATGGTGTTTAAGCAGCATATCTCAATATCCAAGTCTCACCTTCACTAAGTCAGAAACATAAAAAATTACCAATTGATCTGAGGCTGTCAGTTGATAAACAAACAAAATTTGTTTGGGTAAGTCACGATTAACAGTATACAAATAGCTTTCCAGCTGACGGTTAATGAAAGGCCAAAATTTCAATTGGTAAATCACGCTTAATTCTCAGGTTGTCAGTGAAGAAACTGATCAAATTTGTATTAATAAATCATGCTATGTTTTTCATGATTCATAATACTACAACCATACAAAACTTGATAATGAGTACAATTCTTACCCATACCACAATCTACTGGGAACATATCTCATGAAACCCCTAAAAAGTTACTGTTAAGTTATTTATTTTCATGGGTAGACTTAATCTACTAATTCATATGTCCAAAACCTGTGAAGATCAGTACAAGTATATTTATTGAGGTTATGTTTATCTATGAAATCAATTAAGTGTCCACGAAAAAGTAATTTTTTGAAACCATAAAAAGAAGTGATTTTACAATACATTGTATATTGGTTAATAAATAAAACACTACATACAGTATACACAATTTTGATAAAAATAATAAAAATCATCAAGGAAATAAACAAATTTGTCAACCCATTTTCCTGAAATACAGGAACTTAAATTTTTCTGGAATAATGCTTTCATGTACATTACATGAATACAATGCTAACATGAATACCTTAATCGTTACTCCAAATTACATGCATCTGTAAGTTAGCCTACTCTTGATAAAATATATCAGCCACTATTAGATACCAACAATGAAGTCAACATCATCTTTTATGACCTGCAGTAAGTTAGCTATGTTGTCTATGAATGAATTGCACAACCAATGATGTCTTAGATGAAGTCAGGAAGCACCAGTCTAAAGGTCTCATGATGTGATCCCGTTCCTCCTGTAGAACTGTGATTTGACATGGGCAATCCTCACATGCTGTCTGGTTGGAGGGTCGCTACACATGTCCAGTCGATGGCCGTACTCCGAGGAAGCGAGGGTGGGTACTTCTTTTACTTTTTCCTGTAAACCCCATAAAGTAGATGTGATTCTGAGCACAGCTATAATAGATATATCCATTTCTGCTTTTTATCATTATATATATAATCCTGGTAGACAGCATCTCTGCCCCTTTATATCACTTGCCTCAATCAAAATTCAGATCAATATATTTAATTAACTACAATCTATCAACAAAACTTAAAAATGCAAATCTTTTCAGATTTTATTTAGAATCTGAGAAAATATGACATAGGTATTAAATGTAGTGATCAACTTACCTCATCATTGACCTTAAGACCCCGAGATTTGGCATGCTCTCTGTCATCACGATGAAGCTTATTGTTGAATCCAACTTGTTTTCTAAAAAGTCTCTGATATGTTGAATAGGGATATCTTTCCTAAAGATAAACAAAGCATTTTTATTTCACAAAAACATAAACATTTATCATGCAGTATTATAGTTAAACACATTAAATATAGATCAGATTTTAAAAACTATTTTGTGTAAAATTAAGATAGTTTAGAAGAAAGCATCTTTTATCTCTCAGCCATGAGAAGAAATTTAGAAATTTCATAGAATTTCCATCTCTGTTTTAATCAGATCAAGTTCGTACTCAGCTTTTCTGTCACTCTGATTAAGTTCCAATAAAGCATCCATTTTATATGCACATTAAGGGAATTGATGTGGAAATCAGTAGAAATTCGTGCTTTTGCTTATATGAGAATATGTTATTGTGAAATTAATAAAAACAGGTATGAATTAATTCAATATTTCATTGGTTATATTGGTGTTAATATGGTTTATTTGAATGTCCTATTACAGAAATAATATAAGATAGGAACCCAGTCTAGTATCATGATAAATACACATGGATTTTTTCTTATATTCCACAATTAAATATATACACCACAACATAACACATGTATCATTCATTAAAAACTTCTGTACATTGTTAGTAACAAAAGGGTTGAGTAAAGATTTCATCCAGTGTACACATGGCAAATACCAGATATTTATTTTTCAAAGCAAAACAAATTGAAATCTTGTTTTATTTCTATCTTAAATACACTTATACTCAAGAAAGCATGTTCCCCATAATTCCACCACTTCCATAACTAAGTATAACTGTGGGTAGGTTAACCTGTACAGTTCTTTCTATCCCCTTCGTCATTCTCATAATTAACTCAAAAACCTCAACATCGTTTTCACAGCCAATTCATTCTTATGTATCATCTCTGCCATTCTCATTACTTTGTGTAATTATATATACCCTCCATCATAGTCACAAATCTGTGTAACTGTATCATCATTCTCATGACTCAGTGTAATAATATATCCCCTCCATCATTCTCATGACTCAGTAACAATAAATCCCTCCATCATTCTCATGACTCAGTGTAACAATATATCCCTCCATTATTCTCATGACTCAGTAACAATAAATCCCTCCATCATTCTCATGACTCAGTGTAACAATATATCCCCTCCATCATTCTCATGACTCAGTAACATTATATCCCCTCCATCATTCTCATGACTCAGTGTAATAATATATCCCCTCCATCATTCTCATGACTCAGTGTAATAATATATCCCCTCCATCATTCTCATGACTCAGTGTAATAATATATCCCCTCCATCATTCTCATGACTCAGTGTAATAATATATCCCCTCCATCATTCTCATGACTCAGTGTAATAATATATCCCCTCCATCATTCTCATGACTCAGTAACAATATATCCCCTCCATCATTCTCATGACTCAGTAACAATAAATCCCTCCATCATTCTCATGACTCAGTGTAACAATATATCCCTCCATTATTCTCATGACTCAGTAACAATAAATCCCTCCATCATTCTCATGACTCAGTGTAACAATATATCCCTCCATTATTCTCATGACTCAGTAACAATAAATCCCTCCATCATTCTCATGACTCAGTGTAACAATATATCCCCTCCATCATTCTCATGACTCAGTAACATTATACCCCCTCCATCATTCTCATGACTCAGTGTAATAATATATCCCCTCCATCATTCTCATGACTCAGTGTAATAATATATCCCCTTCATCATTCTCATGACTCAGTGTAACAATATATCCCCTCCATCATTCTCATGACTCAGTAACATTATATCCCCTCCATCATTCTCATGACTCAGTAACATTATATCCCCTCCATCATTCTCATGACTCAGTGTAATAATATATCCCCTCCATCATTCTCATGACTCAGTGTAATAATATATCCCCTCCATCATTCTCATGACTCAGTGTAACAATATATCCCCTCCATCATTCTCATGACTCAGTGTAACAATATATCCCCTCCATCATTCTCATGACTCAGTAACATTATATCCCCTCCATCATTCTCATGACTCAGTAACATTATATCCCCTCCATCATTCTCATGACTCAGTAACATTATATCCCCTCCATCATTCTCATGACTCAGTGTAATAATATATCCCCTCCATCATTCTCATGACTCAGTGTAATAATATATCCCCTCCATCATTCTCATGACTCAGTGTAACAATATATCCCCTCCATCATTCTCATGACTCAGTAACATTATATCCCCTCCATCATTCTCATGACTCAGTAACATTATATCCCCTCCATCATTCTCATGACTCAGTAACATTATATCCCCTCCATCATTCTCATGACTCAGTGTAACAATAAATCCCCTCCATCATTCTCATGACTCAGTGTAACAATATAGCCCCTCCATCATTCTCATGACTCAGTAACAATAAATCCCCTCCATCATTCTCATGACTCAGTAACATTAAATCTCCTCCATCATTCTCATGACTCAGTGTAACAATAAATCCCCTCCATCATTCTCATGACTCAGTGTAACAATATAGCCCCTCCATCATTCTCATGACTCAGTAACAATAAATCCCCTCCATCATTCTCATGACTCAGTAACATTATATCCCCTCCATCATTCTCATGACTCAGTGTAACAATATATCCCCTCCATCATTCTCATGACTCAGTGTAACAATAAATCCCCTCCATCATTATCATGACTCAGTGTAACAGTGTAACAATATATCCCCTCCATCGTTCTCATGACTCAGTGTAACAATAAATCTCCTCCATCATTATCATGACTCAGTGTAACAGTGTAACATTAAATCTCCTCCATCGTTCTCATGACTCAGTGTAACAATAATTCCCCTCCATCATTATCATGACTCAGTGTAACAGTGTAACATTAAATCTCCTCCATCATTCTCATGACTCAGTAACATTATATCCCCTCCATTATTCTCATGACTCAGTAACAATAAATCCCTCCATCATTCTCATGACCTAGTAACATTATATCCCCTCCATCATTATCATGACTCAGTGTAACAATAAATCCCTCCATCATTCTCATGACTCAGTAACATTATATCCCCTCCATCATTCTCATGACTCAGTGTAACAATAAATCCCCTCCATCATTCTCATGACTCAGTGTAACAATATATCCCCTCCATCATTCTCATGACTCAGTGTAACAATAAATCCCCCCCATCATTATCATGACTCAGTGTAACAGTGTAACAATATATCCCCTCCATCGTTCTCATGACTCAGTGTAACAATAAATCTCCTCCATCATTATCATGACTCAGTGTAACAGTGTAACATTAAATCTCCTCCATCGTTCTCATGACTCAGTGTAACAATAATTCCCCTCCATCATTATCATGACTCAGTGTAACAGTGTAACATTAAATCTCCTCCATCATTCTCATGACTCAGTGTAACAATATATCCCTCCATCATTCTCATGACTCAGTAACAATAAATCCCTCCATCATTCTCATGACCTAGTAACATTATATCCCCTCCATCATTATCATGACTCAGTGTAACAATAAATCCCTCCATCATTCTCATGACTCAGTAACATTATATCCCCTCCATCATTCTCATGACTCAGTGTAACAATATATCCCCTCCATCATTCTCATGACTCAGTAACAATAAATCCCTCCATCATTCTCATGACTCAGTAACATTATATCTCCTCCATCATTCTCATGACTCAGTGTAACAATATATCCCCTCCATCATTCTCATGACTCAGTAACAATAAATCCCCTCCATCATTATCATGACTCAGTGTAACAATATATCCCCTCCATCATGCTCATGACTCAGTGTAACAATATATCCCCTCAATCGTTCTCATGACTCAGTAACATTATATCCCCTCCATCATTCTCATGACTCAGTGTAACAATATATCCCCTCCATCGTTCTCATGACTCAGTGTAACAATAAATCTCCTCCATCATTATCATGACTCAGTGTAACAGTGTAACATTAAATTTCCTCCATCGTTCTCATGACTCAGGGTAACAATAATTCCCCTCCATCATTATCATGATTCAGTGTAACAGTGTAACATTATATCCCCTCCATCATGCTCATGACTCAGTGTAACAATATATCCCCTCCATCATGCTCATGACTCAGTGTAACAATATATCCCCTCCATCATTCTTATGACTCAGTGTAACAGTGTAACAATATATCCCCTCCATCATTCTCATGACTCAGTGTAACTATTAATTCAATTCCATCATTCTCATGACTCAGTGTAACATTATATCCCCTCCATCATTATCATGACTCAGTGTAACATTAAATCCCCTCCATCATTCTCATGACTCAGTGTAACAATATATCTCCTCCAGCATGCTCATGACTCAGTGTAACTTTATATCTCCTCCATTATTATCATGACTCAGTGTAACAGTGTAACATTAAATCCCCTCCATCATGCTCATGACTCAGTGTAACTTTATATCTCCTCCATCATTATCATGACTCAGTGTAACAGTGTAACATTAAATCCCCTCCATCATCCTCATGACTCAGTGTAACTTTATATCCCCTCCATCATGCTCATGACTCAGTGTAACTTTATATCTCCTCCATCATGCTCATGACTCAGTGTAACTTTATATCCCCTCCATCATGCTCATGACTCAACATAACTTTATATCTCCTCCATCATGCTCATGACTCAGTGTAACTTTATATCTCCTCCATCATGCTCATGACTCAGTGTAACTTTATATCCCCTCCATCATGCTCATGACTCAACATAACTTTATATCTCCTCCATCATGCTCATGACTCAGTGTAACTTTATATCCCCTCCATCATGCTCTTGACTCAGTGTAACTTTATATCTCCTCCATCATGCTCATGACTCAGTGTAACTTTATATCCCCTCCATCATGCTCATGACTCAGTGTAACTTTATATCCCCTCCATCATGCTCATGACTCAGTGTAACTTTATATCCCCTCCATCATGCTCATGACTCAGTGTAACTTTATATCTCCTCCATCATGCTCATGACTCAGTGTAACTTTATATCTCCTACATCATGCTCATGACTCAGTGTAACTTTATATCCCCTCCATCATGCTCATGACTCAGTGAAACTTTATATCCCCTCCATCATGCTCATGACTCAGTGTAACTTTATATCCCCTTTGTTATTCTAATGATTCAGTTTAACTATCTACTCACTCTATCATTATCCTGATTCAGTGCAAACATATATTCTTTCCATCATTATCAGATTAAAATGTGACTATATATATGTTTACTCCTCACCTCCACCACTCACACAACTCAATCATGCTTTTCCAGCCACCATTTTTATTACTTAATCAACTAGCTCTTAACTGACCAAGCTACTAATACAGTACAGCAAATTTTGGGGTATTTTCCCTGACCATTATGACACATATAGAATTTTGAAATACATTTTTTTTCCCCTGTGAATAAAGGAATTTATCAATTCAATATAAACTTCTATCATCAATACAATGAGGATGTAAAAAATCTTATATATTCACTTGACTTTTCAAGTAATAATATAATTTTTGTAGTTTTGACCAATCAGAGAAATGCTTTCTAGTCACTGAATTGAACTTTACTGACTTTCCTATTTGGATGCAAACTATCTGCCATCAAAACATTTTTGAATTCACTTCATAAAATGATAAGAATTTTCATGTTTTTTCCACTTACCAAAAGTAATTACAACAATGAGACATATACAGATATAGGTACACGAATATATATTTTTACATACATTTATACATAATTATGAATTCAAGTTTGTGCATGGCCCTCCCAGTTGACCCTATTTAAAACTGTCCTAATTGCTCTAGATGGCATGAGGTGGGCCTTCCATATGTTGTTCAGTTGGTAGCCACCAGCTGCTGCAAAGAATTGCACTCTCAAAATGACCCTGGATGTTACGAGGCAATAAACTCAGCAAATAGACAATTGATATAGAACCAACACAACAAACGGTTGAAATAAAAGGAAAAATACCACTGGGATGAATCACAAAATTAATGCCTTAAACATGCAATTAGTTTTTACTGTTATTTATAAAATGGTTGCTTATTAAAGAATCTTTAAACTTGCTTCACTCCACATGCAACTTTTGAGTGTTCCAGTGTTTCAGTGAAAATAACAACAATTTGGGAAGAAAAACAAACACCAAATCTCTTCATAATGTTAACATATATACACCTGTTCTGCAAAGCAAAATTCTTTTCTTGTTTTGAAAGCAAATGTAAGCACATGCAAATCAAGCAATATATATTTTGAACAAACAAAAAGCCATGGTAACTGACACACACTAATAACACTATATTGTGTATAGGGCTCTGTTACCTCAGCCACAGCTATAGATACCTGGAAAACAAGCATCAAATTGACCATTCTTTATCATTGTCATAACATATCTAGTTACAAAATTATAAAATCATCTACCTGACAATATGATATCCTGCACATGTCTAGTACATCTGACATTTGAAATAAATGTTCACTCTAGTGTTGGAACTATAGTCTGTTGTGTGAACTATAATGTGACATTGGAATTTAGAGTGTGATGTTGAAACTGTGTTCTAATATTGAAACTATAGTCTTATGTTGAAAACATAATTAAATGTTTGAAATATAGTCTAATGTTGGTATAGTGAATTGTTTGACCTTTAGTCTGATGTTACAACCAGGGTTTTCCATAATTTTGTTAGTAGTAGGCTGTGTAGTGAAAGTAGGAGGCTGTCCTGTTGTTTACGTGTAGTCGTGTATGGAACATTATTACAGAACTGGATTGGTGTAGGCGGCCAAATGATCAAAGTAGCCGGTCAAATTGGCTGGCGACTGGCTCTTATGGAAAACCCTGGTTACAACTAAAGTCTGACATTTTAACTACAGTATAACATCTGAACTACAGTATAACATTGGAAATATAGTATAAAATTGGAACTACAGTACAACATTGGAACTATAGTATAAACTGGAACTATAGTCTGATGTTGGAACTACAAAATGTTTAATAGAATGTTGAAACTATAGTCTGATGTTGGAACTATAGTATAATGTCGATACTATAGTGACACATGTCTGAACTAAAGTGACATTCTGATGCTAGAACTATGGTATAATGTTGGGCTATAGTATGATGTTGGAACTATAGTCTGGTGTTGGAACTATAGTATAATGTCTGCTTATATTTAAGATTTTTGGAGTTTCTTGATATACATGTAAAATAACATTCCCAATAATCAGTTATGAATTTTCACTTCAAGCCTACTTGCATATTTATTAACTATGGAAACAAATTTGAATTTCTGACTGATACCAATAATAATTACATTTGGTCAGAACCATTAACATTTCTCAAAGTAGAATCTAGTAGCAACATCTTAAGTGCAGGCTTATTACCGATATGCGGGGTTGTGCCAAGGGTAAGACCCGGACATTGTCAGATTATCAAAAAGAAAAGGACTGAATGCCCTGCGACTCATTGCAAACCATGAGCATGGCAATATTGTTTATTTATATCACAGGGACATGTACTCCAACAATGCTAGAGGTTTTACACGGCGAGACAGCGGCCTCTTATATTATAGGAATAAGGGACATGTTACAATGTTTCTGAGGATGGGGGCTTGTATGGTATAGTTTTACAAGTTATGGTATACTATTACTAGTTACGGCATACTAGATCTATCACTAGTTATAGCATACTATTACTTGACATATAGTATACCATCCAACTACAAGCCCTCGTCACAAAGAAACATGTCCCTTTATTATTTACGTACATCTTTAGGGGTGTTGAAAACAGTCCTCTCCGCAGGATCTTCCCTTTTCGTGGGTATAAATGAATAGGCTGACATTTCACATGATCTTCCTTTAAGGGTGAAGCTATTGGTGTCTGTTTGGACCTCCAGTTTTCGTTCTGTTGATTCCGCCATCGTTTTCCCGTTTTCAGCAAATCCAATATGGCCGATGTCAACTTCCGTTGTCAGGTGCCCGCTTTTATTATTTTCATTTTGTATAAGCTATTCAGATACTGCATTAGACCATAATATATTGTGCCAATTTAGTGTATTCAATCAATGTTAATATCACTTTATCCAGATACACGAAAATATAATTAATAAACCAATTTCCCATGGTACTTTTCGTCATTCCAACATGGACGACGTCGTACTAGTTTCTCTTCCTACATTGAGCAGGTAGATGATGAAAACTGTTTTACTTCATTATAGTGTGACATTCAGGTGCTTTTTTCATTTGTATCGAATAATTATGGTATTTCATATATATGTCTGTTCCTATAATCGCACTTTGAGGAAACGTTTGATTATTCTTTGCTCACATTTGCCACCTTATCTGCACTCCGACTGTTCTTAATTTTGTGATAATGCATTGATATATTTATGTTACTGTACAGTATACATAATGATTTCATTTGCTAGATAGTTGTTGAACAGCTTTAAATCCAGTATTTGAATGGCATATTTTAAGTTGTTTCTACGTTGTTATGTTGTTGTTTTCAGGTCTTAACAACTGGAAAAAAACATGGCCATCCAGGGAAATTATATTTGTGAACCTCAAACTTGACAAGAAATACGATATGGTATGATTGTAACATTTTGGATATTGCATAGCGTTTTTAGAAGTGCAATACAAAACAGAGGACTGCTGAAATCAGCACTGCAGTCATTGGTGTGGAAAATGGGAGCATGTATTTGTAAAGATAAGACCAACAACAGAGACAATCGAAGAGGTAGCAATGTTGTGTCAAGTCTCATGTCTTCTGAGACAAGTACAAGGGGGCAGCATTCTGTGCAGACAGATTCAAGAATGGGTGCCCACAGGCCGACATCCTCTGGAGGCTGGCGATCAAGAGAGAGAAAGCCTGTAGATGCACTTGTGCTGGAAACACTTGCTGTTATTCGTTCTCTTGTAGATAAGTATGTAAACAAATGAATGTATCAGTTTATCAACAAAGGTGTAATATAAAAAGGTAGCATATTGCTTTTCAGATGATTCTATGAAAAGGTAGAATTTTTTTTTTCATTTCATTTCCTGATATGTGGTTAATGCATACATATATTGAGAAAATGAAAACCAAAGGAATTGTTATCAGAATAAAACTCTTCTAGATTTAGCTTCTGTTTGAAAAAGTGACATTTTTATTTTCATTTACATTTTGAATCCAGAATAAAAGCACTTAACACATACATATATAAGTATGGGGTGCAGTTTTAATATTTATCCATACTGGTTGGAATTTATCATGCAATAACGTCATTAAATAAATGGTTAACAAGTTTAATATGAGCTAAACCCTTGGGTATCATTTTTTCCCCTTTAATGATATCATTAACTGAATTAATCATATCAATAGTTCATTTAGTGCTTAAATATCATTAGAAACTCTTATTTATTGATATTAGTTAAATTAAAGATATAGATATATCATTAAATTGAATTATTGACACCACTTCTTCTGTGAATAAATGATATATCAATCACTGATTGTACCTAATGATATTATTAACTCTATTTTATTTCACATCATCAGAAATTAAATGTAACTATGTCACCATCAACTGAGTTTTTATCTCAAACAATAAATGTCAGATCTAAATATAGATCTTGTCTGAAATTGATGAAGTAGAATGTGGATAGGGAGTGATTTTGAGTGTTTGACTAGTTTGACATATGTTGACAGTGAGAGGGAACCACCACAGGCGATGCTGTGTCTACAGGAAGTAGCTGAGTCACAGAGTGGATGGCTGGATATGGTCAACTCTCTGATCTATTCTATACCTATACAGGATCCTTTAGGACCTGCTGTGGTTACTCTACTCTTAGATGAATGTCCTCTTCCAACCAAGGTAAAATGGCATGTCTTCAAGTTATGGTAATACAGCATTGTAAACAGAATGCTCTTCCAGCATCATTACTTTAATACTGGTAGATATCAGATAATTAACCACCCAGCATATATCATATATCAAATTGTTTTCTTGTGATGTTTTGAAATATAGATTTTCAGGTATCTCACTAGTCTTAATTCTTTTATCTTATAAATCTTATAAATTAAAAAAAGCAAATGTTTTTTCTTTCATGTTTTTTTTTCTCAAATCTAAGGAAACAACATTGATTTTATGTGAAAAGATGAATTTGACCAACGAAGAACCAGGGGCCAAAAATTTAAACACTTTTCGTCAGATCCATAGGAATAATGGAGTTGTCCTTGGTTGTTTAGCAGAAAAATTAGCAGGTAAGTAGTATATACATGTAATTATATATAAATTCCCTATAGACGGTTACATTGAGTTCTCCATAGATAGTACTGAATAACATATGAAGACCTTGTAGATAAGAATATATGAGGTCCCTGTGCATATTGAGCTACATATATAAATTTTTTGCTTTTTTATCGAGTCAAAGCCTACGACAATTTGTTCATCAGTATAAGATGAAGCATTGACCTTACTTTTGCTTGCCATGTTGACTCGTTTCAATGCAGTTATTGCCCTGTTGCTATTTCAGATAATTAAAGCCTGTTACTTTAGATTTGGTACATGATATCAATTGGATATGAGCATTGGTACCTTTTCTTTTCAAATACAGTATACATCTTGCAGTAGACCTTTTAAGATTACCTTTTATAAATTGATATTTCATTATATGATATGGTTCCATCCATTATTTCATCTTGATTTTTGAGGATTTGTCATCTTCTGATGACTCCTTTCTAATTCTAATGAACTCTGAAATTTCAGGACCAAACAGTATCGCTCTTTTGACTTCTAGAGTAATGGATTACTTACTGGGAAATCTAGTAAGTATGTAAGGGCCTGACTGTAATCTTTTAGTCATTATTGAAACAATTAAACATCTTCAGTATTACATCAAAATGATCTGAACAGAGTTGGATCCTTTGTTTCACAAATGGTACCTCATCATATGTTCCATAAACAATGGTAAATTATACTGGAAATTACATCATGCTTGCCCAGTTTATTTACAGCATTTGGAATGTATTAGATAAATTTTAGTAGTATGAAGCCTGTAAAGAATTCTTAATTCTTAAAGTTTTGTCAGAAACTGATTAAGTCTTACAGAAATTATAAACAAAGAACGAACGGACATATCATGTTAAAAATTAAATTTGCTACTTTAATGCAGGTGCTCTAATTTTGAATGACCAGCTTTTATGTCGTGTTATCTAAATCCTTTTCAGCCTTAATTTTGTGTATAATGTTGTGTTGTAGGACATGTCACTGCCTTCTGTAGTCATACTTCATTCCTTGGTAGCATTGGAGAAGTTTGCACAGACGAGTAAGTAAAACATACTAGTAGTGACATAGATCAGACATGCCGGAGTGATCTTGTTCTTTGTTGTGTTGTACATGCTTATTGATATATCTGTGAACATTATGAAGTGTATACTGTTCTAATCCAGCCTTGAATAAATGATTGATTAAAGAGTTGATAGTACAGCTGTACAGACCTATCCCACTACTGTGTATTGGGTGGGTAAAACTTAAGCAAATTAATTATAAGTATGTATACTGTACATTTCAGGTGAAAACAAGGCAACAATTAATAGGGCTCTACAGAGAAATTCCCCAAACCAAATAGAGAATCTCGAGAAATGGTGGAAGAACTCAGATTATCAGAAACGAGAGGTTGGATTCTGTGCCAAATGGTGCCTGGATAATCTCTGTAAGTTGCTTTGAATAAAAATCATGATGGGAATACAATAATTGTAACCTGATGAATCCTAGATGAGAAAGTCCATGGTAAACATTGTTCGGCCTTAGTTTATAGTGAGCAGTTTTATCAATAAAATTGGATAAAGTTTCATAGTAAGTAATAATATATGATATGTTCAGGTTAAATTGGTTTATGCCTGTTGATGTTTGATGGTAAATGGGTATAAGGTAGGTAATCCTGTGTAGTTTAGATATTAACTGGGTGTACAGTTGGTAAACCTGTGTTGTTAAGATATTAACTGGGTATACAGTAGGTAATCCTGTGTAGTTTAGATTTTAAACATGTTTACAGTATGTAATCCTGTGTAGTTTAGATATTAACTGGATGTACAGTTGGTAAACCTGTGTAGTTAAGATATTAACTGGGTATACAGAGGGTAAACCTGTGTAGTTAAGATATTAACTAGGTGTACAGTTGGTAAACCTGTGTTGTTAAGATATTAACTGGGTGTACAGTAGGTAATCCTGTGTAGTTTAGATTTTAAACATGTTTACAGTATGTAATCCTGTGTAGTTAAACAGGTTTTAGTATGTAATCCTGTGTAGTTAAAAAGGTATTAGTATGTAATCCTGTGTAGTTAAACAGGTATTAGTATGTAATCCTGTGTAGTTAAAAAGTTATACAGTGGGTAAACCTGTGTAGTTTAGATTTTAAACAGGTTTTAGTATGTAATCCTGTGTAGTTAAACAGGTATACAATGGGTAAACCTGTGTAGTTAAACAGGTATATGATGGGTAAACCTGTGTAGTTAAACAGGTATATGATGGGTAAACCTGTGTAGTTAAACAGGTATATGATGGGTAAACCTGTGTAGTTAAACAGGTATACGATGGGTTAACCTGTGTAGTTTAGATTTTACTTGGAATACTCTGTGATTAATCCTTTCATTTTTCTCTACCCTTGCTGTTGCTAATTGCTGTTGCCTTGGAATCACTGACAGTCATCACTGAGGTAATCTGTCTTTTTCTGTATATCAAATAAACAATTCTGATTTGTGAATGATGGGAGGTTATAATGATTTCCAAACCAGTGGTCTTTTTCATTTTATTTTATTCAGAAAGCAAAATACTGTGGCTTCATTTCAGAAAATCTGATTATTTGTTAAGATAAGATGATTTCTTAATCTGATAGGCAAACAAGATATATCAGTTTTCTGATACTTTAGTTACAGCTCAGTTTTCATACATGCTGCTATGTATTGTTTATGAAAAGAATAAATTATAAAATCCAGGGTCACAAATTTTCCCATGAGGCTGAGGACTTGAGTGCTGTTAATGTGATGTTGAATAGTAATGATGTCAGTGAATACCTCAAGATTTCACCAGATGGCACAGAGGTAAGTTACACAATTGTGGTTCAATGGCTGTCAAAAAACTTTTAAAGCATGTATTTGAACATCAGCGAAAAGTTTCCTTTTCAATTTCAGTAATGTAATCCTAGTGATAAATTTAGAGGGAATATTCTTATATGAAGGAACATGCAGAAACTGGGATCAGACTTTCCGATGTTATTGTAGACATGGTTATCTCCCTTGGAACAATTTAATAGACTTATTATTAAACATTGTTTTTTTTTTTAATTTTCAACCAGTCTTACTTAATGAAAAAAAATAATCTGACATTATTTTGTACATTAGTTTAGGTTTTCTTACCCCAGTTATATTATAGATGACTAGACTGCATTATTCACACCAATTTCATTCCTTTACTTCTGTCCTATCTCAGTGTCTCTGTTGACAACATTTCATGATTAAAATAATTGACAAAGTGAAGGTATGAAAGTACCACAGTGGGATTCTCCCAGGATACCAAGGTCAAGGCTATTGAATCTGATTCAGCATCATTGCTCAGATACCTTTACCTTAGGATCAGTATCAAACATTTAAGTGACATTTAAAGCATATAGTGATTCCTCTTTATTTTCATCATTTTATTGAAGTGTTTCTGGAAATATGTTTCCTTCTCTTCGGAACTGATCATTTTGTACATAAATTGATTATGAATTCCCTTATCAGTTACCAGAAATCGATTCTGTCATGTCAGCTGAAGTGTTCATTAAGATTGAAGGTGTTAATAATGCTTGAACCCTGCTTTGTACATTTTGTACAATTTCAGATCTTTGTCAGTTACAGATATAAATACTACTAGATATTCTTAATTCTTTCATGGTGAATTAAAACAAAATTCTATGTAATCATTTTATGCTAATAAAGTGGAAAAAAAGTAGTTTTTTGCTAAAATATTATTTCATGGTGAATTCTATACTATAGGTATTAATGAACCAAATCTGAGACTTACTTTGATTTCTGAACTTGTCTCCTTTACAGGCGAGGAGTGATGCTTCTTCCTTCGAGAGCGTGCGCTGTACCTTCCAGGTAGACACAGGGATATGGTACTATGAGGTTACAATTATAACAGATGGAGTGATGCAGATCGGCTGGGCTACTAAAGACAGCAGTTTTCTTAACCATGTAAGTAGTTCTGCCATTAGTGTTTCTGACGTAACTAAGTGAACTTTAACACTTCTTTCTTTTGCATTGGTCTTTGTTTCTTATGAATGGCCTTTGAGTTGTAATTTATCTGGACTCTGTGTTATCCTGGCTTTTATCACCTCAGTAAGATTTTTATTTGTTTATGTTTTCGCAATCTTGGTGATGTAAATGCTTGACTAGTGAAACGCATGCAAAGTGGTGACCTGTCGTAGATTGTGTAAAATTAGACTAGTCAACTCTTTCTCTGAAGGAAATGACTGAAAATAGCAAAGCCTAATATGCAGGAATTTGTGTCTGTACTCTGGAAAAACAAGACAGGGTTTTTTGTAGTTATTAATTTGTCGGTATGTTGGGTGTTTTTTTCCTCGAAAATGCATGGCAGTGTGTAAATTGTAATGTAAATAAATGTGTATTTCTGTTATTTGGCTAATATTGTATCTATTTGTCATAGATACATATTCAGTGTCCATTACCAGGTTCTTCATTCACTAGGTATAAAAACAATTGGAAGCAAGTAAATGTTCTTATGCAATGTAGCTATTAGTGGCATTGCACAGTCATTGAAATAATGTGTCTGGTTTGACAGACTGCAGGTCTTTTTTACCCTTGGATGCCCATATATGTTTCCAAATAAGGGTTGGACTAAAATGCTTGCTACTTCCTTTGATACAATGGCTTGAAGATAGCATTAGCTTAGTGGAGGAGATCTCGGAATCATTCTAAAAACTATATGTATTTTGTTATCTCAACATGGAAATTTTTTTGACTTCCATAGTCAGCTTTAAACAGTATCAATTGTGACTAAACCCTAAAACAGTAAATAACCTATAGATTGCTTTTAAATTTCCTTCAATCTTGTAGGAAGGATATGGTATAGGTGATGATGAATATTCCATGGCGTATGATGGGTGTCGACAGCTGATCTGGTACAATGCTGACAGCAAGCCTCATGACCACCCCTGCTGGAAACCAGGTAGGTCTTATTAGCCCATTATCATCAGACTGTTCCGTTTACACTTCATCCATGCTCTGTTGTCTGTCCTTAAACTGTTATTGTTATTGTTGTGTTTTAAGTACTGGATGGATCTTTCTCACATTTCCTATTATGGTGAACATTGGTTCTTGTAGAACCCTTCATATACTGTGACAGATTAGGAAAACCACATTTTCTGACAGGTAGTCATCTTGGTTTTAACAATGAAAAGTTTTTACTGCTATAAATAGACAAGTACTTGTTATATTGTTGGGGTGTACATTATCAATATAGACAATATGTTGGGGTGTAGATCATCAATATAGACAATATGTTGGGGTGTAGATCATCAATATAGACAATATGTTGTAGATCATCAATATAGACAATATGTTGTAGATCATCAATATAGACAATATGTTGTAGATCATCAATATAGACAATATGTTGGGGTTGTAAATCATCAATATAGACAATATGTTGTAGATCATCAATATAGACAATATGTTGTAGATCATCAATATAGACAATATGTTGTAGATCATCAATATAGACAATATGTTGGGGTTGTAAATCATCAATATAGACAATATGTTGTAGATCATCAATATAGACAATATGTTGTAGGTGTAGATCATCAATATAGACAATATGTTGGGGTGTAGATCATCAATATAGACAATATGTTGTAGGTCTAGATCATCAATATAGACAATATGTTGTAGGTCTAGATCATCAATATAGACAATATGTTGGGGGTGTAGATCATCAATATAGACAATATGTTGTAGGTGTAGATCATCAATATAGATAATATGTTGGGGTGTAGATCATCAATATAGACAATATGTTGTAGGTGTAGATCATCAATATAGACAATATATTGTAGATCATCAATATAGACAATATGAAGCAAATGAATTTAATAAGTATAATTGATTTTTTTCAATTCTTTGATGAACACAGGTGTTCTGTAAATACCAGTAGGACAATGATTCCTATCAGACAATGATATAAAAAAGTTGTTTATTGTTTATCCTGAATGGCCAATTCATGATGGGGTGGTCATAATTTCAAAAGTTATGTAATACCTATTTGACTTCAAAAAACATGGTAATGTATCCTGTCCCTTTTTCGTAGGCAGATTTGTTATATATTTGGATCAACTCAAATATGTAATGAAAAGAAAATTGGATTGTTTCTTGTTAATGTCATATCTATTTCACTTGTATATACATGTATAGGTATTCTCTTCCTGCTCCAAACTCAGGAAAACCATCTTCTGTCATACTAATAAAATATATACAGTGTTAAACAAAGCCAAGAAACGTTCTCTACATACACAATTATGACGATGTTTAATTGGTATACTAAAGGATTAGAACTGATAGTTTAGTAGGTCAGTGTGAGTGGGATTATTATCCTGGCCAGTGAGTTTGTCCTGGATTAGTGGAGCCCCAGGTTTACTGTTAGTTGTGATTAGTGACTCATTATGGGCTACTTAGACAAGATTAGTCCTGATTGCTGACATACTTTGATTGTAAAAATGACCGTGTGACTCTTGTGAATCATATTTGTTATAGAGACAGTATACATAGCTTCAGGTATTCTCACGAACTATATATCCTGTAAGACAAACTTTGCCCTAGTACCATTGTTTGTAAGTACATACAGAGAATAAGCCTCAATAGTAACTAGTGATAATTCTTTGTTTTTTATACAGTATAACAAGATTCATTTGATGCCTTTAAGCTGTAAACTTTTCGGGTACCATGTTTGTATTCATATTAATTTTAGATCAAAGTCTCAAACCTTATAACTGAAAACACACTGGTTTACATGTAGTTCGAATTATGCTGATGTTCTATCAACTTTTTGATATCAGGTAGGCATCGATGTCAAAATAGATAGAATGTCAGAATAACTCAGACAAGTTTCCATGGTGACACTGTGGGAATGTAAAACAAACACATGATTATACATCTACATAAAAGTTTATGTCCTTTTCTTAAAAAAAAAAAACCAGAACTATATTACAAACATTAACCCTTTATAAAATGACTTTTGTGTGATTTAAATTTTTCATGGGGATTACTGCAAACTTAATTGAGATGTTATCAATATATTCATGATTAATTGGAAAAAAATTAATGAAAACCACTTGTGCCTGATATAAATATTTAACTCAGAATAAATAGTTTTCTTTCCTAATGTACACCCCTACATTGATTTCATGTTTTCATCTACATGGAAATGTTACTGAATGCACTCACATTATTACTGTCACTGTTTAAAATTATTGGGTAATAGATATGTACCTGTTACACATGCCTAACATCTTTACCTCTATATGATATGTGTCAAGGTCTATGGAAGTGCATGTTTTGTTGGGGAAAAATGGAAAAAAACAATTTGTGAAAAGTATTTTGTGTCTAACTATCACCAACTTACATACATCACCATCTCATCTATCTTCATGGCAACATAGCAATGTCATGTTCACTGTATTATATCTGACACCACAATGTCATGATGTTATGTTCATTGTTTTATATCTGACACCACAATATCACGATGTGATGCCCAAAATCTTGTATCTGAAACCATAATGTCATGATGTGATGTTCATCTTATACCTAAAATTACAATGTCATAATGTCAGGTTCATCTCAATATATCTGGCTTCACAATGTCATGATGTCATATTCATCATGTTATATCTGGCATCACAATGTCATGATGTCATATTCATCATGTTGTATCTGGCATCACAATGTTATGATGTCATATTCATCATGTTATATCTGACATCACAATGTCATGATGTCATATTCTTCATGTTATATCTGGCATCACAATGTCATGATGTCATATTCTTCATGTTATATCTGGCATCACAATGTCATGATGTCATATTCATCATGTTATATCTGGCATCACAATGTCATGATGTCATATTCTTCATGTTATATCTGGCATCACAATGTCATGATGTCATATTCATCATGTTATATCTGGCATCACAATGTCATGATGTCATATTCATCATGTTATATCTGGCATCACAATGTCATGATGTCATATTCATCATGTTATATCTGGCATCACAATGTCATGATGTCATATTCATCATGTTATATCTGGCATCACAATGTCATGATGTCATATTCATCATGTTATATCTGGCATCACAATGTCATGATGTGGTGTTTAGTCTGGTGCTAATATTTTCTTGTAAGTGTTTCTTTAATCTGTATTGGAATGTTGGAAACACCGATTTTTTTATCATATGGATCAAAATACAATGATACACCAAACATATATCATATTGTTTATTCAAACTCTGTAAAAACTTGAAAATCCATCAGAATAGCATTCACCAATTGTATCTGCCAACATCTAACACAAACAAACTAAAAACAAACTACTGTACGATAAAACTGAAAAGATTTACTATATAGGTCAATTAGGAATGATCCCTACAATAACCTAGATAAATTAAGATCTATATATATACATATCTCGATCAGATGTTTAAAAAATCCCCATTGTGTCATATTTGCTGGCTTACTGATATGTTGTTGGGGATTTAAAAATCAAATGTTTTACAGAATATAATGTTATTTTTTGTGAGAAATGAGCAAAGAAAATATGGCAATGTATGTATTTGTGATTTGATATTTTTTACGTAATGGTGTTCTATAGAATCTCTCAGCACATGTCTACCATGTAGATAAATGATTATACCAACATGTCCCTATAAATCCTTTTCTGTGTAACAATAGGAATATTGCTGGCCCACTTTAACTTTTCTTGTCCACCACAGGTTTCATAGGATATTTTGATATGCACAAACTAGTTATTGAAGGTGTCTAAATCTGTACATAAATAGAAAACCGACTGAGGAGTGAGCCCAGACAATAACATATGTAACATGAAATTTCCCTTGTGTAGAAATATTTGTGGTTTTCATGGGAGTTCTTATGTAATACAAAGGAGCAACACAAAAAATGGCCTCTGTCCTGCTGGGGATTTAATGCTTGGTCTCAAGCTAGACACTCTGCCGTTCAGATAAAGGAAAATTCTGCTAACCGAGGGTAGTATGGTGATTTGTACTGTCTACGTCTTCACGTTGACCATTGAAAATGAATACAAAATTTTTTGTTTATGTTCTTTACTGCCTTGTAGGGTCAGTTAGGGGTTGTATTGTTAACATGACATAACTCCTTTCTAAATCACTACCTATGGAGATGAATGTTGATGAAATATAAATACAAAACATAAATACCATCACACCTTTACATTATTGTACTGTTAATTATAGTACAATATAGCACCTTAAGATGATTGACAAGAACATTACAAAACATACACAAATATGGCTACATACAAATAGCTTTAAATCGACATGTAAAAACTCCTCATTGAAAAAAAAAAGAGAAAATGGCTGCTCATAAATGAAAACATTCATAAATGACAAGTCAAATAGAAAATCTCTAAATCTTTAGAAAAGGATTGCATTCATAAATATATAAATTTTATCCAACATGATTTTAGACTATACAACTATCCTGTTTGTTGGTATGTATGAAATAGACATAACTTATGTCAATGTAAGCTGTAATCTTTAATTAGTCAAGATGGCTTTTAATCACTCTTTTTTAATCATCTCAATTTCAAAAAAGGATAGGTAGTCTGAAAAAATTATTAGAATTTTGAACTGTAGATTTTAATTAGATTGCCAAAAGTAATGCAGGCCAAAGATTTCTCCCCGCCAATACCTATAAACCTTAATTCATTTTTTTCATTTTCTAGAAATTACTATTATTTCAATCATACCTAATGCTAGAATATGATTGTTTTGATTTACATTGAGGTAAATGAATTATGCACCAAACATGGAGACATTTGGTGGTGTATATGTTAACAATTTTCATGTTATACAACATATAAATGTAAATCACCATGAGTGGTCAAAATTGATTAATGTCAGTTTTGAAGTCCAGCCAGATGCTGATAATTCCTGTAATGAAATACTACTTAATTAATCACTCTATAAGATATTAACACACAGATACTCTAAAAGTTTTTTCTTGGGGTTAACACAAGGACCTGTATCTCCATGTCAGATAAATGACACACACATACCCTAGGTTGTACTAAGCTCCATGGGAGAGCATGATTATATACATGAACAGTTTTGGCACATTGGAGGAAGTTGTAAGACATTGTATATGCATATAGATCCAGTATTGAATTACAGGTTTTCAGATATCACACCTTACTGTCTGTCACAGCGGGCTAGTCTGATATCATTGTTGTTGAGTCATACTTGTTAGATACTGCAGTGCATTCCACTATTGATATTAAAATGGAGTATTACATTAAACAGGGTGATATGTGATATAATGGGGAATAGTATTGTACTTTATCGAAAGTAATATTAATTATGTTATCAAAAAATGATATTACATTGTCAAAGGTAACATATTATCAAGAATAATATATTACATTATCAGATGTAATAAGTTACATTTTAGATTAATATGTTATATTGATGGAAGTAATAAATTACATTAACAGGAGTAAAATATTACATTAACAGGAATAATATATTACTTTATCAGATGTAATAAGTTACATTTTAGATTAATATGTTATATTGATGGAAGTAATAAATTACATTAACAGGAGTAAAATATTACATTAACAGGAATAATATATTACTTTATCAGATGTAATAAGTTACATTTTAGATTAATATGTTATATTGATGGAAGTAATATATTACATTAACAGGAGTAAAATATTACATTAACAGGAATAATATATTACTTTATCAGATGTAATAAGTTACATTTTAGATTAATATGTTATATTGATGGAAGTAATATATTACATTAACAGGAGTAAAATATTACATTAACAGGAATAATATATTACTTTATCAGATGTAATAAGTTACATTTTAGATTAATATGTTATATTGATAGAAGTAATATATTACATTAACAGGAGTAAGATATTACATTATCAGGAATAATATATTGTTAACAGGTGTAGGTGTAATATGTTGCTGCATTTAACATATTACTTTATCTGGTGTAATATTTTACATCAGTAGGAATGATATATTACATTATCAACAGTTATACATAACAATGAATTGTTTTAGATATTGATTTTGAGATAAATATACATGACTAAGAACAGGAGTTTGGATCACACACAATAGAAGAGAGAAAAATAATGTTTGGAAAACATAGTGCTGACATAGAACTTGATATGTTATAGAGTGGAATGCACTGTTTATCTCATACAAGTAGCAGACAATTGCATCAGTCTGTAACCTGGTCTGGTGAAGCACTTAAAGATATTTGATACCAGTAATCTAATTCTGATATGATTCTGGGTCCAAGCAACACAATTTTATCTTAATTCCGGCCAGATCAGGTCACATGATGTTAACTTTACATGGAACTCGGTTACTGGTCGTGTTTGGTAGATGTCGGTCATTCTTTTGCTTTATTCTGGTAGGATTATATCTTTTGTTTTATAGCCATTTTTATGGTGTTATGATATTTTAGGGTCTGTGTTATTGACCAATCAGTGATGCTTGGCTTGACATAATTGAGTGCAAAACTGCACCAGTATTGTATCATACTGTAGGAATTTATGTGACTACTTCTGATCTGAAATTAAATAAGAATTAGTTATATTGATTTAAGATGTCTGAACCTAAACAAGAAAGAAGGATGTAATATATTTCTATGTTTATTCACCTCAAATTATACACTCAACCCAAAACTTGTAATTCCATCTTGAAAACTGAAATAAACAATTTGTTTTGAAATGTAATTCCTTTATGTTGTCAATTACAGTAGACGTATTCCAACAGTCGAATAGATCTACCAATTTCTGTAACCAGTAAAAGTTGGTTATTATATGTCACAAGTTCCCTGTTAACATACAGTTTTGACACTATCTCCCTTGTCAAGATCACACTTGGCTTAGTACAGCTATTTTTGTAACATTGTATCAAGCTGCCACCTGCACTCTGCTTATTCCCACCATTCACAAGGGGCATACATATGGTTGCACCCACAGTAGCCCCTGTGGTCACATTGTGGTCACCCTGTGCTCATCCCCATCGTTTGTACAGGCCTTTATGCTGTTGCCCCTACCATTTGCCCTTCCCCTTCTGCCCCACCACCTCCTCCACCTTCAAGCTGCTTTTTCAAATTTTCTACTTCCTGTTGTTCAAATTTTGTACGATTCTTCATTAATCCTTCAACAATTCGCCTCATTTTGAATGTAGGTGTGTGTCGCATTGCTCGACTGGCTGAGTTCAATGGTACATGTGATTGCCGTCTGTTTGATAAATCCAGTTTTGTCATTTGTGAAAGAATAAGTTGAGTTGGTGTCACGGCACGTTTGATTTTACCTTCATCCATAGATGTTTTGATTAATTCCCATAGATTTTTCTTTTCTTTGCCTTCCTTATTTACGGGTTTGACTTTTTCTACCACAACTGATCTCTCACTCATCCTAGAAGCTTGGTTGTTTCTAGCTTCCTCTGCAGCTTGCTGAAGTTCCTCCTTTTTAAGTTCCTCCTCTGTTTTCCATTTTTTCGAATTGTCAAGAGGTTTAGAAAATACACTGAGAATAGCAGAGGCCTTGGACTGATGTGCCACAACAGGAAACTTACTAGTTTTAGGTGGAGGAGGTTTCACTTCAATAATCTCCTCTTCTTCATCAGATACATCATCAACTTTCTTATCACATAGTTTATAAAATTGCACCAGTTTTTTATCCAGCTTCTTTTGTTCGTCGACCATCATTTCTTGTGTCATTGGCTGAGACTGACCTCGCCTCACACTTCGTACTGATCGCACACTCTCTCGTGTCTGGGGCCGTGATGTCCCTGAAACTTCAGAAAACTTGTCTCCAAAAAGAAGAGCTCGCAGATCAATTCTTTCCATTGCATCTAAGTCATCCATGTCATCATCACTGTCTTCCCATGCAGTGGTGCGACGTGTCGTTACAGATCGTGTGGAAGCGTATGTTTGTGATCGGGTTAAACGATCAGCCGTTGAACTTTTCTTATCAAAATCATCACGAAGAGAAAATTTTACATGAGAAGCACTTTTCTTTGGCCTTTCTATAGATGGCAACTTGGAATCATTGTGATCAGTTTCTTTTTTGTATTGTTTCGTTGATGCTATAGAGGATGGTGGAGCAGGGTATGATGAAGGAGGGGCTGACTTTGAGCTCCGTCTTCTCCAGATTGGCACATGTGTACTTTGAGAATTGACTGACAGAGCTCCAGGTGTTGACGCTGCTATTCGAGACCGTTCCTCGGCGCGTTGTAACTGTTCTTGCTCCCGTAGTTTGTTACGGGCTTTAGACACCAAAGGCGCAGAATCCAAGTCATTTAGGGTACGACCCCGTAATGGAAACTTTTGTTGTTTGTCTAGATAATAACAATCCTGCATAATACCTAGACGCTTTTCAGAATTGTTTATTTGTGTAGCATCGTAAGTAAAGTCTTTCTCGGGTTGAATTCTTTGTTTCGTCTCTAGATCTATTTTCCTTTTATTGATATCAAACACTTTTACTTCGTAGCGAAGAGCACTCGAGTTGTCATGAATTTTCTTCATTTTCTGGTTCACCTCACGCTGAAGTTGGCCATGCTTGATATTGAAATGGTTGTCACATATATTGTTTTTGACACTGACTAATTTCTCAGTAACCGACACTTTTTTTGTGACATCCAGAGCCTCTTTCTGAAGATCTTCGAATGGATTCACTACTAGTTGCTCTGAATCCATGATGAAGAAGTTTCCTGTGAAAAGAATTGAGAATTTTAATCATTCTGATATGTTAAAAGTTGATTTTATATTTATCATTAACACATAAAGATAACATTTCTTTATAAATACATAAAACATTTACTTAATAAAAAAAAAAAAATGATAAAATCTCACTTTTTATTATACTATTTAACTACATTATTACTGAATCCTAAATCCATAGAAATATTTCCTGTGGTGCCTTCATAGTAACGTAAACACTTACATGAGAGCATGTGATGACACCTACATAGAAACCATTATTTGTGTCACTATGACCGATTTCTGTTGTACAGCAACACATATAGGTACACAGATTTCATTTTACATTGATTAAATAACCCCTCGATATAGAAACATTCGCCAGCCTGACACCCTGACTGCACACTGTCAGCCTGGCCACTGGTGCAGTGTTTGAAAGGCTAATTGTTCAGCCATTAGAGAACAGCCACTCCTGGGATGGCTCAGTTACGTCCTATCAATAATCCATGTGTTGGTCATCAATCGGAAGATTAAACTCGTAAACCATCACTTTATTGACAAACTGTCATCGTGATAAAAGGCCGGGCATTGAAAAGTGATTGAACCAAACACTCTCTATATGGTCAATGATGTTTCAACTGTTAATCAATGCTTATTATGCATTGAATCCAGGAATTGTTTGATTGCAAATTCAAAGCAAAATCCTGATTTAAGTCAACTTCAATGTAAACAAATTATACATGTGTCCTTTGTATCAAATTGTTATGTTTCTTTTTAGTTCATTATAATGGCTGACTTCCATAGGTTTCCGAGTCTTCAGGCCAACATGTCTAATCATTATTACATTTATCATACTATTGTGTGTTATAGTTTGGTTATTACATATTGTATGTTTCAGTATAATTTGATTGTAATACAGTGTCGCTTCTGATTTAGGATATTTTGATATGAGTTAGTTAAATATGTGACTATAGATTTAGTACAATGTATTTGTTGAAGTACAATGTAATTTCTGATTTTAGTATATTCTGATATGATTTAGTTTTAGTATGTAGATATAGATTAAGTATGTGTCTATTTAGTCCTGTATCACAATGCGACTGTAGATTTAATACACTAATGGATTATGTATATAAAGTAAATGTAGGTTGAAACCTGCCTTCCTGTGTTAACGCTGTAATGATTATATAACTATTAATACTACTCAGCAATCTATCCAGGGCACAGCAAACACTTGATCTTAAAACAAAACCTAGTGACATAATTGTTACCATTGCCTTGGAGATGGCGTGATAGTGTGTAGAAACAGGAAGTGGTATCTCATTGTGTTAGGACTGGTCAATGTTTCAGTGTAAAACAGTTACTGTTTTATTGTTGGATGATTGACATTGGTAAAGCAAATATTTTACATCAGGTTGATTAAATGTGTCTGTGTTTCTATATAGGGAAAATATCAATGTTATGCTGAATATAAAAAGATACATTTCGGTTTTTTTTGGTTTTTTTTTTTAAATTTTTTTTGGCAGTAAATAATCTTTGTACTGTTAGTCTATTTAATTGATATTTACAAAATAAGGAGGCATATTTGCTGAAAGATGAAACAAAAATTAAGAAAAATGGAAATAAAAAAAGCAATATTGGAGTATTTCTATTTAGAACTAGTGTATAAGGGATTAAACTCAAGTGACAAGAATAGATAACTAATAAGATGTTTTAGAGCAGGTGCTAGACTTCTTGTCCAATCTGCCTGGTAACTTTACCTGATATTGGTGCCAGGAGATGACAAAGTTAAAATGATTTCATATTCGATAATTTTTTGACTTGTAACAAAATAGGGAGAGTAATTTAATTGATTGAAGTATTAGGAAATGAAACTTTTTATAGAAATTTTAAATAATTTTGACAAAATTATGTGTGGAAATATGTTTGAGAACACGTACAGATAAGATTCTAGTAACTGAAATTTCCTGTACTGAGACAGAAATATAATTAGTTAATTATGTTCTGAGAAATTTTGTTAAATATCCATTCAGTTAAAAATTCAGAAAAACATGTGGATGAGTTAAGTAGAACACAGAAGTCTTTACTTTCCCTCTACGACTTGTCCCCTCCCCTATTTACCACGGTAGTAAATGTCACTAGTAAATCTGTCCTCAACCCCATTAGTTATTATGTAAACTTCCCCCATATCCTTCTCGTAACGTTTCAAGTTAGAGTGACCTACTTGTGGAATCCTGAACCTCCATGATGCTGTTTTTGTGCAGCATACCGCTAAGGTCTCCTAACACATCCATATTTATAGAATCAGAGCACAGCCTTCACAGTGTCAAAAATATCAAAGAAGTCAACTTTGTATCATTTTGTCAACATTCACACGATATCTAATAGAAGTTGATGGAAACATGTCATATCCATGGAGTTAGTATGTTGTTTCCTATACTGGTACGTAAATCAACAAAATGGCCAGATGGCCTCATCTTTGGCTCAAACAGGTTCCAAATACCACCAACAAGTTTGTTTCTCTGTTGATCAACAGTTGAAATTTGAATTGTCAATGAATTAATTGATGAAATGCTGCCTGAAGAATTCTGCTTGTTGTAACACTAGTGAACTACAGAAATCCTTTTGATAAAGTTTTTAGAACAATGACAAAAGTATCGTACAGAACTGATAAACGATCGGACATATCATGTAGTGACATGATTTCAGTACATTCACTTAAAAAATTCCCTGTAAGTTATACATTGTTGTCTTTCTATAACAAATATGTGACAGTTGTCCTTTTTCACAGTTTGTTCGGTAAGTTTTAGTGTCCAGTGGCCACTGAGACATCATTGAATTGTGTGCGTGGACACGTAAAGATTCCACACTGAATACTACTGTTACAAACCTGAGGTAATACTCAAAGTCCTTGTCTAAACTTAAACAGATTAAAAACCAGGGTGTAAAAACACCAGGCCAAAAGAAAACAAAACGTTAAAGTTCCGCTCATAATCTGTCGCAGGATTTCATGTGGGGATTAGTAGGATTATATCTTGCTTTGTCAGTGGACACTGTGAAAGCCACACTGGCAATTGATTTCAGAAACAAGATTATAGCTAGGGAAGTCTCTTAGTAAGTGAGAATGTCAACATACTTTTCTGATGTTGGACTATCTAATTAGTTAAATTGACACCAATGTATCAATCTTTAGTTACACCAACCATCCTTCCTAATGGACAAAATCTTCAAGGATTTCTATTTTTACTCTTTTTGAGAAAATTATACAGTTGTAAAAAACAGATTCCTTGCAAATGAAAAATGAAAAAGAAAATGTTCATTCCAAAATTCTGTAAAAAGACCTACTTATTGCTTCAAATGTTTAGATTTTAACAAATGAAAATTAGAATCATAAAAAAGCCCAGCTTTAGAGTTCCTGACCATAACACTGACCCAGAGGACTTTTCCATCTGTAATGCCACACATAATTGGAAGTCTTTGGCCCATGACATTGTGACATCATACCTGGTGCCTAGAGGCATAGGTAGTATCTATTATGTGACAGTTATATCAACACTAAAGCATTGGACCCATAGCTCCATGTCAGTCCAATTCTGTTCTGTAGGAAAAACAACCAATTCTATCCCATTGTCCTGTATTAAGCCCATGCCTGCTTTGATTTATGTCTTGACCAACAAAAGGAAAATCTTGTAGTCACTACGTTAGAATTCTATTAAACTATTTCTGGGAAGAAAAAGAATAATCATAAAAATTTTTGTAATGTTTACACATGGTCTTTAGTTAATTACGGAAAATCTTGTAGTCACTACGTTAGAATTCTATTAAACCATTTCTGGGAAGAAAACTTGAATAATCATAAAACCGTTTGTAAACATTTGCACATGGTCTTTAATTAATCACTATTTCACTATGCCATATTGTGTGGGCTGTACAAAGAGGATAGAGTTATTATAGTCTTGTAGTCAATATGTTAGCATTCTTTTCAGCTATATCGGTGAAGAAAACTTGAATAATCATAAAAATGTTTATAAACCTTTACACATGGTCTTTAATCAATCGTTATTTCACTCTGCCATGTTGTGTGGGCTGTACAAAGAGGATATAGTTATTACCTACTAGGACCCATACATATGTGTTTAACAGTACAGGAATCCAGGTTTCCAACTGTCAATTGTAATACATGGAATTAAGGTATGTTATATTGAATGACCTGGGTCATTATTAAGTCTGCGTAACAGATATTTAAGGGTAGAGCTATCAGAGATTACAATCTAATTACCGAGTGTACAGGTGATAGGCTCTACCGTTACCACCACTTCATATACAAGTAGTCTAGTCGAAGGGTGGTGTAGTCTCACCACACAATGTTTCAACATGCTTAATTCAACTGAAATTATAACCATCTAGAAAATATTGCTGAACGTCATAGTATCTTGTATAATTAGTAGCTTTTACTCAGTGCTTGGTTAGATTTATTTTAATACACAATATTAAAAGCTTTACTCAGCCTATCATTTTTACACAGATGCCAATATGTATGTAAAGATTTTAGTACACAATATTAGTGACTTTACTCAGCCCTTGGTTTTACTCTGGTGGTATTACATATATAGATTTTAGTACACAATGTGAAGAATATTTATATAGGTAACAGTAGAACATAGAAAAGTCTCTGTAGAATTTTCATTCTGATTACCACGTTTGTTTCTCTTTGTTGGCATTTTAGTGCAACATTTCTCATATTTTGGTCTGACTTTTCTACCACATTCAGGCCTGTTTTAGACATGACTTATTCTATGTTGTTTCTTGGACTGGCTTTCACTATTTAACATTACCAGAGTTTAAGATTCTATTACTCTGGCTGTGTAGTTCCTTAACAGCATTCAAAAGTTATTAAGTGTATGCTTTTCTACAAATGTAGCATACATGTATATTAAAAGTGAGTTTTGAGTTACATTTTAAATGTATATTTTCTACAGAAAATGTTTCTTTGCTATTATACATACCATACTGTGTCATACTGTGATTGGTTGCCATGGTTTCGCACCAGGTTCACTTTTCTCCAAATTTCAGACAAGTATGATCTATTACTATTTTAAGCACTATTAAGCTTTCTCTGCACTACCATGTAAAGTTTACACATCCATCTTTCATTAGAATATAACATCTTTAGTACAAGAATCTATCTCCTCATTGAAAGCTTTGGTGTTGGTTTACATGTTGTGAGTATAGGGGTGAATCCATCACCCTGAGGTTTCTTAGGGTCATCACAACACACAGTATTGACCACCAGCCGGCCATTAACACTGCAGGTAGCTGATCAATACTCCAAAGTAACAGCAGAGAATCTCGAAGCGAAGAGTATCAGAAAGCAAGAGCTACAGAAAACATCTCCAATTAACTCACAAAGTGTGTGAAGTGGTAGTTACAGAAGAACTTAACAAGGTTAAGGTAATGGTTTAGTCATCATCCCGGTGATCAAGTCTTTACACTCTATTCTCTGTGCTGTTTACAATGACTTCAGTGTCAGATACCCCGCAAATCCAACAACAATCTTGACAAACATCTTTTTTTCTGTCAAATTCTATGGCATACATTAAGCATATTCAAAATTCTTCCTATGAGAAATAAAACATTGTACACACTAGGAAAATTTCCACACCTCCTAATGTCTGTAACCGTTTAGAGAGGATTCATCAGATGTCTCCTCTTAATGTCACAGATTCTTACAAACACAAGAAACACAGGGTAAAACTTGTCCTCCTCTGCAGGTGGTAATTAGCGATAGAGACAGGTACGCTTTAACGACACCAGATGGCAGCATTTGGATCTGTGTGGTTGGTCATGAATTAAGATTAACATCACAAGTCTTAATCTGATTTGTTTACTCGCAAAACAAGTTTTCTAAACACAAATTAAAGGTCTACTGGTTTTGTAAACAGGATTTAATCAAATCATAAGTAGTAATTATATACTTATAATTGAAGTCACAACAGGTAGATGACCCTCAGTACTGGGTGTTTGGGTGCTGTGTCTTATGAACAGACTGCTTTGACTGGATGTAGTTTACCAATTTTAAATTTCTTTTCATTGATTATATAAAAATACAGCCACAATAATCATACTGAAAACTTCAGCCACCAACTTGATGATTTCTAAATGAAACCCTGGTTTTTATTACAAAAGTTAAGGTCAGTTTAGTCCAGTCTTCACAAATGTATTGTTGTTTTTATTAACTAATTCTGAAGGATTTGGTGAGGTTGGAATTAGTGATTACTGCCATTGGGGGATAACCTTCCGATCTGTGGTGATTTCAACACCACTAAAATTCCCAGCTTGAGCTAAGATTGAAATTTAAGATTCATGGTGAGCTGTAAGGTGTATAATGGAATTTAAATATAGTCGTATTCAGGGAATAGAGAGGTGTTTATCATGGTAGAAATAACAAATTTGACACCCCACTTGATTCGGTGTTGACTGAATCAGAGCTAAGTAAGTAATTATCTACTAATTAAAAGGATTCCGTAGATCCATCTGTATGTGTATCCTGCTGGTAAGTTTCCTGTAGAAAGCAATCCAAGGATAAAATATCAAGTACAATAATCCCTTCAATTAACTGAACTTTCCTGACATCTTAATTCAGAACAAAAATAACACTGTTACTAATGCTGAATACCTGTACACTCCATCTTAGACTTTCCACAGTTAGCTATTTCTTCTGTCACATTTGTCACTTTTTTGGAGACTCTTTCTGTAATAACCAATAAATTGAGGACAGGATTTCTACCAGTCTGGTATGCTCCATGTGGATTTTTGTTATATGTAACAAAATCTATTGAATTTTGAAATGTGCAGTTTGTCAGTGTTTGATCACAGTATGTTCTGACAATCTAAAGACAATTACAAACATGATGAGACCATATTATTGATTTACACCTGGGTAGATTGTTAATCCTACTAATCCACATGACCTGTCACTATATCAATGTTTAAACATCAGTGACCTGCTCTATATGAATAAGCTTTGGTCTATTTTATAATAGTATAAGACTTCCAATGTAACACTATGAAACTTCTCTCATATTGTCCTTTTTTTCTAGTGGGGGGTCTTTCAAATGTTTGAAATGGAACCATCTTCCATTTAGAGATTTTTATACAGCATAGGAGGATCACACAATAGTGTGTAGTTATGGTTTACTTAGAGAAATCGGGAGCATGATTGCCTGACATTGGGTAGTGGAAGTTGCCCAAGGTATCCCTGAAGGCAGTCATGTAGATAGGAATATTTACATTG